TAATGGTGGGAAACAAAAGAATAAATTGGAGTTTAGTCTCGTGGACATTTTGTAAGTTTTATATATTAATATTTTTGATATATGCCTATATACATATTGATTTAAAACTCCATATGCTATTCTATTAGTGGTCAAAGATTAGCTTGCTGCCTTTGGGGTAAATTTGCTGAGAATTTTCATACAGCTAGCCAAGAAACTGAAAGTATGGTGATATGTCTTCTACGATTTTGTAATAAATTCACACTGTTTATATAGTTGAAAAGGTGTTTCTACTAACTCAATCTTTTTAGCCAAAGTTTACTTCATTTTTCCGTTTTATGATAGAGGAAATTACTCAGTTGCTTATTATTTATTTTTGGTTATAAATGAGGTCCAAATCTCAAATGCTTATGATGTATGTCACATGTTTGTCAATCTCGAAATACTAGAGACAGGTGAATTTAGAAAAACGGTATTTATCTTCTTCAATAATTTTTTTCATTTTATAATAGAATAGATTAAATTATAAAACTTTGTTATAGTCGCAGAGGTAATGATGATTCTCAAGCGTTAATCATGGCTGAATCAAATGAGAACAAGCTTGAGTTGCAGATGAAACGAGATAAATGGATGCATTATCCTCAAAAGAATCTTCGAGAGTTACTTGAAACATCTGAGGTATTGCATTTTCAAAAACATCTTATGTATTGCATCTCTTTTATTGTTTTTTTAATGGATTTATTTTTTTTTAGTAAAAACTATGTAGGGTTGTTGCCACAATATATGTCATTGATACAGATTGGGGATGGTATTATTTTGGCTGTTTGAGTTGTAACAACAAGAAGGTTTATCCACATTCCAAAACCGTTAAAAATTGAATGGGAGAGAAATTGTTACACACGTTTGGTGGTGTGAGACATGCAAATCGAAAGTAACATTTGTTACTCCACGGTATTAAAACCTAATCTAATACTCATTTTTTAACCTTCTTAAATAGTTATATATAATCTAAGCTAATTTATGTTTATTATTTTTTTTCAACAGATTCAAAATCCATTTATTGGTCAAAGATGATACTGGTGAATCTCAATTCATGTTATTGGATTCTATTGCTAGAGGAGTTATTCCCGAGTCTGTTGCTACTCTACTAAATGGTTCTTGGGAAGAAGTTAGTACTTCTCAGGCCCGTCTTTCTGATGTGAAGGTTCCCAATCTCGATTGGAAAAAGCTAGGAGAGCCACAAATGTGGCGTTAAGTGCTCTCTGTCCTCATCTCTTATGTTTGAAGGTGTTGCGGCTATGAACTTTTTAATTGTTGTCTTGTTTAGAAAACCTGTTTTTTTTAATATTTTGATGTATTAAACTGAACCTAATGTTTTTTATGTTACTGAGCTATCTATGTTCATGTCTATCTTTATTATTTGATTGATGTGATTAGTTTTTAATATTTTAGGTGCGGTTAATGTTTGATTTAGATAACCAAATGATTATGGTGATGTAGAGTAATATTTGAGTAGTTATCAATATGAAAACATTATTTTATAAATTCTTTAAGTTGATAACAAGTAAATAGGCAAAAAATATAGATAATACAAATTTATATAAAAATATGACATTAATTATATATGTTACTTATCAAACAATACCTACTATTAATTATAAAGTTAAATTAGAAAAAAATGTTTGGTACATATATATAACTAATCCATGTACATTTTAACTACCAAATCATTCGACTTTATATATACAGAAAATCACATAATGAACACACTCATGCATGTAATCGAATCATATTAATTTTTATCCAATCCATTTTCAAAAATAGATGCAAATTTTCAAAGCAATTATATTGGGCTCCATAATTATCAATATCTTTTGGGCGATTAGTCTTCTTACCTATTTATGTTAAGCATTTAGACCCATTAATGTTTAGGTTTAGTTCTTATCTATATAAAACTCTTCGATTGACTATAATAACCATAATATCTCTTCATCTTACTCTCTCTCATCGAAAAAAGGTATTTTATTTCTTTGTTCTTTCTATCCTTTTGCATATAAGAGATGTTGTTTTGTTGTTAGATCTGTTATATCTTAGTCTGTTTCGAATCATCTGCCTGGAGTAAACTGTCGCTAGGTTCTTTGTTCATATTTTATTGAATATTTTCATTCTAGGGTTAAAGTATCAATTACGGTTTTATGTTCAATTCTCTCAATATTTTATAAATGTGTTAAATTTAGAGGATATAAATATAGAACATATTTTGGGGTTACAAATATTTTATGTTAATTTATGTTAGATCTTACATCTAATATAATAAATATTTATGGTTTATAATATTTCCATATTTGTTATATTTTGTTTCCTAAAATTAATATTTTGTTTCTTGAACATTGAGAAGTATCTTAATGGCAGGTAACAAGAATCTAAAAATGAAAGGTCACATGATCGAGGAAGAAGGGGAAACGGTGAAGGAGGCTAACGAGAGGGGCAGATTTGAGACCATGCAACGTTATAGGACTATGTTGTTGATGTATCATGACCAGAGTAAAGCTATTGAGGCAAGGCACCAGGAGGAACTCAATAAGGTTCGCATTGAGGCGAAACTTGAGTTCCTTGAAGAATGTGAAGGTCTTTTTTTCATGTACCATGAGAAGAAGATGAAAGAGTTCAAGCTGGTCCTTGCCGAAGCCAAGCTTCAAGATGTTCAGGTTCCTATTATCGATTGGTTCAAGTTGGGTGAGCCAATGATGTATGACTGAACATCTAACAAATCTCAATCTCAAACTTAAGTTTTTAAGTTTATGTTTAATCTTTTTTTTTTAATTTGAACACTATATACCGGTTGTTTACAACCGGTTTTGTTATATTTAAATTTTTTTATTAATGTTTAATATTGCTTGACTACTCTTATTTGTTTATTTATTGCTTGATTTACTCATCTTTTAGGCGTTTTAGGATTATGTTTGTTTAGAAATAATGGTTTTAGTTATGTTTATTATTATTATAGATTATGTTATATAGATTCTGCTGTTTTTTACAAGTTTAATGCTTACATAGTGAATATATCTTTTCTCTTAATTAAACAACTTTCGATTTTTAAATTTATCTTTTTCTATTTACTAATCTTAATTTTATAATGAAGTTTGTTATGATTTTGTTTTGACAATTCTGAAATAGATGTCTGATATGATTGACATATATCTCATCTTCCAAAACTGTTCTTTTATAAAGTTGTTTCTTAGATGTTTTTTCCAAGACGTAATGATTTGACATTTTGGTCATGTTATCCATATTTTTAGATAAATATTTCGTATATTTATTGCGTTTATCCATGTCAAACAATGATTACTCTTTTTGAATTTTTTTCTACATGCAAAAATCTGATAATCATTTTTATAATTTTTTACAAATTTGTAATGCAATTTTGGGTATTTTCAATCTTGGGCCTTTTATGGGTTATGGACCCATCCAAGTTTTATTTTAATGGACCATCCAGTTTTTCGTATGGATCTAATATGTGTTTTAATTCTTCATAATCTCACAACACTTAATTTTCTGATTCTCGGTTCAACCACAAACTGACTCGGTTATGCATAACTCAATGAAAAGACCCAACTAAAAAGTTAAATATACATCACATTCAAACATAAAACTATCATATAATACAAATCTAATCATTTGATACATTTTGTTACAACCAAAACAAAAACCGCGCTTCTTAAGCGGGTCAAAATTTAGTTTTGCTTTAATAGTATAGATTAGGCTCAAGAGTAATACCGATGCTAATATATATAGTGATGATAATTTTCGTTTGTTGCCATCCTAACCTCTTCGTTTCGCTCTAGTCGTTTCTCTTCCTCGGTTTGTTTCAAAGTTTGTGTAAAGCTTCTCCTCTCAGTTTTTGTTCTGAGTGTAAGGTGGTGACGAGTCTCACCACAGAGAACTATGTTCTTTAGTCCGATTGACAACTATCATGGAACGATCGTGAGCTCCTCCCCTTCTCACATGTTTGAAGGTGGATTCTTCGTTCTCCATCTTTCCCCCTCTTGTTGTGGAGTTATCAGTCAACTGACTCAACTCCCTATGTGCTTTCACTCCCTTCTTGCATACCTCTGGTTTGCAGCTTTTGTGTGTCTTCCTTGTTGTTTTTCCGCCGCATATTATGGTTGTGGGGCCGGTTAAGGAGCTTGTACCGCATGCGTGACAAAAGTTTACTATTCACCTTCAGCAGTAATTCGTCGGGTTTACATTTTCGTTCTTTTGTCGCTTTAGCCGTGGGTTTGTTTGTTCGGCGTCCTTCCTCCTCATGTGGTGTTTGGAATCGACCCGGTACAGCTATTCTTTTGGTCTCTTCCGATCATCGAAAATTAGTATGTTTGGGGAGAAATCTGTTATCTCTCGTTCTAGTCTTTTATTAAGTTCAATGCTCACGCCACCCTCGGTTTTCATTGGTCTTAATCTTAGTTTCTTTAAGTTTTTTTTTTTTTTTTTAAATTCTTGCAACCCTTAAAAACATATTCTAGTTCAAGCAATTTGTAACCAAACCTTCATTCAATCAATGTCATTTGCATTTTAGTATTATATAGTGAAATGAGAAGTTGCTTTTTAAAGTTCGTCATCAATTCTTTTCTTACAACAAATCGGGTATTTTTAAGAGTTAGGATGTCTTGTCTATTTGCTTGAGTCAAAGAGAGGCTAGAAAGAGAGAAGATGGATGCTTGGTTCATAGTCTAGTTTGGTTGAAGTTCTTATCTCTTCATTTCCATATCAAGAATCTGAAAGTTTATACGTATAACGCACCCACGTTTCCATATTGGTTGATTCTAAGCTATTAAAACATTCTTCTTGCCTTCTTTGTTTCATGTCAAATCTATTTTTCAAGCCTCCAGGTTTTATTCAAGGTTGTCTTTGACTAGCCCACTTTATTTATATATTTTTCTTAAATGGTTGGTTAGTTTCTTTGACTTATGGTTTCTTGCTTTTGCCCAATTTTGAATTTAACGGTATTGGCCAAAACTCCGGCAGGACCACAATGTCTTAAAATGTTTCCAGAGCTAAATAAAATAGGAGGAAGTTTAACGTACCAAATAGAACAAATGATATCACTAGAAAAGCTGAGTTACCTGAGAGCCTAGAAAAGGTTCTTATGTTTATGACCAGAGTGTCTAATACAAAGCCAAAGTACGCCCTCAAGTTTTAGGACCCATACTCACAGATATGATAAATGTTTCTTTCTACCAACGTCAAAAGGAGAGTGCGAGAGAGAGAGTGGCATATAAAGATCAGTGGAATGAAGCGACTTCAAACGTAGCAGGTTTTAGAGATGGGTCGAGTTTTGCGGGAGAGACCCGCCACTGCCTTCGCCATGATCTCCCATTTCCTGCACATCTTCCGGCGATAGTATCTTTATGTACCAAACGTTACTCACAAATGACCTGCACCACATAGCTAGTAGCTTCAAAGATCTTATCCAAAAATAATGTAAAAGAAGAAGCATGAGTAGTTTGACTTACTCCCAGGGGTCATCGCCAAGGAGAAGAATATCATTTTCCTTGTCAACGAATACAAGCTGCCAGCCTGATCTAAGGGGGTCTTCCAACAACCCTTCGATAGCAAACATCTTCCCTAACTCTTTTCGCAGCTCATGATAGCTGCTGAATCGGGAGATGTCTAGTGAACGCCCAACCGAACCTGATTTATAAACCTGCATTTGTTTTTGTAAACAACAGTCAGTATTATTCTACCAGTAGAGAGCCACAAGGAACCAAACCAGCCACCTTTACAAAGTTCTTGGTTTGGTTGGACGGATTAATCTGTCCAACTCCATGCAATAACTCATGAGTTGTGTCTTGCATGCAGCTGTATAAGGAATTCTCAAACCCTGAATCTGCTAGTGACATAGTAGGGTAAGCCTCCGCATCTCCTGATGAAGAAGCAAACCGAGGCACCGTACTTGGGAGGAAAAGTCCAGAGCCAGGATCAGCACCAAAGAGAGAGGGATTCTGTGGATTCAAGTTGGCACTTCCAGTTTCTAGAGCAAGGCTTTTCCCAGCGTATGCTTGTGGAAGTGACAACGGTTCAGAAAAAGTGTTGGATGCTTTTGGAGACCAACCCTCTCCCATTAACTGCTCAGGCAGTACAGACTGCCCGGTTATAGAGAAGTTCAAAAGATTGCTGCCATGTCCAGACCCCGGAGAGACAGAGTTTTGTTGCATCGGACTGGCTGTTGTTGCTGCAAATTTGTTGTTGCTCGTCTCAGTAAAACCTGCTTTCATGAAAGAAGAAGGAGAAGGCATATCCGAGTGCTGCCACTGTTGAAGTTGACCGTTTTGCATTTTAAAAGCATTAAGATATGCATTTTGGTCCGATTGCTGCTGCTGCCCAGCTGGTTGCTTACTAACTTCTTGTCGGATACTCTGCTGTGGAAGATTCTCACTCATAATCTGAGTTTGAGCATGCATGAGATGGTGTGATGATGCTTGTTGCTGTTGTTGAAGCATCAAATCAGAATTTTGGGAAGCTGATTGTTGAAGATACTGGTGGTGAGGCTCTTGCAACTGGGCAAACTGTTGTCTGAGAGGATCTCCACCGCCCATGTTCTGTAATCCAGCGGCCAACATTGCTTGGTATTGCTGATTATTATCAGACCCGAGTTGAGCGAGATCCATCCTTTGTTGCATCCATGGAAATAAACCAACAGATGGATAATTTAGAGGAAGCAAACCTTGTTGCTCTCCACCTCCTCCTCCTCCTCTCAGCCATGGTAGACCACTTCCCAATTCACCCCTTCCATCTGTAACACCACAGTGATTCAAGTAAATCTCTACTAATCAATTCAACATTACTCTTTACGAGTTTCTCATTTATCTGTTAATAAAAGTTCAGGAGAAGAGTCAAATGGTGGATGATACCATGTAATGATGAAGTGCCAGCATGCCAAGGACGTTTGAGCCTTAGAGGAAACAGAGATGGATACATGGGAAAGGTGGTAAGAGGCTCAATCTCCCATAAAGAAACCCTTGGTTGTCTCTCACCTGCAGTCGATTCATCCCAACCAACCTACACCAATAATGCCCGGAGAAATATATCCTGGAATCTAAATCATCCGTGTTCATGGAATCTTAAATGAAAATCACAGATGCTACCTTCACAGATCGCCAATGAGAGTTGGGCCAACGAACAGAATCCAGATCACTGATACCAGTTATAGTACCCATGTACCTGGAATGTGTGTCTGTCAGAATTACAAGTTAAAGTAGTGATAACAGTTTTCACAGTTTTTAAGATAAGGTGATATAAATCACCTGCGGACACTCGACTCTTCTGTCTCGAAGAGCATGCGAAAGCGCATCCCAACTGAAATACGGGTGTGGAAAACAGCTTTAATGTACTTGGAAAGTTGTATCACAAACTCAGATTGGCTAGCCCTGAAAATCAACAGAAGATTAGCAAAACATATTATCAGATAGTACCGAGAGAAGAGGGGGAAGATGAACCTTGGATGAAAGAAAACAGTAAAACAACTGTTAGTTGCAGAAGCATGTGCAGCAGCAGCTAGGAGTCCAATATGCATGCTATCACTAGATAAAACAGATGATGGTACAACAGTCTGTGGACGAGTGGCTCTACGTATTCCCAAAAAGAGTTGATTCTTTTCATTCCTGACAAACAAGTAAATAGGGTTAAAGATAATAATGATAATCCACAAGTGAATGCACAGTGAAAGAAATAAAACCTTATAAAAATGACAGAATCTCCAGCTACTAGTCGCTTAGCACTAACAAAGACACTCCACCCAGTAGTTAAGAGATGCCGTTTGGGTTGTCCTGCATGGTTGTTGCAAGTAAACAAAAAAAAGAATAAGGATTCAAGTCCATTAGCTTAACGATAAGAACACAGAGCAGCTGTAGTTTCTCCAACTTAACCAAACAAGTAAAGCGAAAAAAAAGTACAATGCTACTTCAGAACAGAACAAAATGATAATCCTAGTAAATTTTGCTAAAAACATACTTTAAAAAGAAATGCCATCCAATGTTTAAGCCAACCGAGATAGAATAATTGTAAGCTAACCGAGGAAATGTGAAAGCTACCTCGAAAGATATGCCTAAATTTCCATTCAACATCATGGAGATCCCTTGCGAGCAGTTCTTGTGCTGGTGGCTGCAGTGAGTAATCCTGTAACAGGGAAGAAGCAAGATATAAAAAGAGTACATCTATTCGCAATTAACAAATTTTCCGCAAGTAAGCTAATGAAATAGTGTTATACCAGTGGAGGAAAAACTTTCTCTGCAGCGCGTCGAGGAACAGAAAACCCTCCATGAGTACTAGTATCACTAGCTGTGAGAGTCTTACAGAAGTAATTGCTAGGTTGCTTGCTTGGTATCCCCAACTCAATCGGTACAAATGTTTCCTTCTGCTCATCCTATAGCCAAACACAAACTCTAAAGTTTTAAGTTACTTATTCAAAGACTAACTCGAGTAAATGAATTAAAAAAAAAAAACAACTCTAGGGTATACGACCCATACCGGTGTCAATGGTTGAAGTGTCATTTGAGCATAGACTTCATCCGTCTCCACATCTGCCTGAAAAAGTAGAAAATGAAACCCATACTTACAAAGCACATCATCCCAAAGTCAGTTTATGAAAAAATGAAGTGGAAAGGGACAGGGAACTAACTACGCACATGCATTGTAACATTATGGAGCTGGCAAATCAATTGTGGTGGTAGGCTTGGGTAATTGGGTATGTGACCATCAACTTCCTTATTAGTTGTAGCAGCTACCTACAAGTACACTTCAACTTAAATGGAAATGCCCAAATATATACAAGTAAGAAAAGTAAAGCTCCCATACTTTTGAAACTTCTTTGCAACCAACACTCACAAAGAAAAGAAAAAATAGAGGCAAATCTTTAAACCCAAACCCAAAAAAAAAAAAGGGTAGAAACCTGTTCGCTGTGACCCTGTGGAAAGTAGACAACGCGGCTTCCAGATGATGGAAGAGAGACCAGTGGTCCAGCACAAGCATGCCATAGCTCAGAGTTGAGACATTTCTCTCCTGTTAAGACAAACAAGAAAGAACTGAGAACACATGTCCGGAAACAAAAATCATAGAATTGAAGAGAAACAAAACCTTCATGACCCTGCTGAACCAATCCAGATGTTGACAGCTTCATAGTAGAAATCCAAACACACAAAGGGAGGTGCTAACTTTGAAATTAGTAACAAATTAAAAAAAAATACAAAGAAAACCCTAATTTTATTCCGTACAACCTAAATCTCCTCACTTCCAGCTACTATAGCAGCTATAACTCTTTAACTCCGGAAGCACAAACTCGTCTTTCTCCATCTCCTTTGTCCCTCCTCACCCACCATTAGACTCAGATAAACCTTATTACTATAAAATCTTCCATAAACCCCAAGAACGAAGGAAACTGAACAAACCCCATTTTTCTCAGAACCAGAATATGTTGCTTCTCATCGTCAGAGCTTGAACACTACAACTACACATGGAGCACACTAGACGAACAGCTATAAAAGACCCCTTCTCGCAAGATCTTCGTGGAGAATGAAAGATGGAAGAAGAAGAAGACAAAGACTATCTCTTTTACCACTTAGCTTTTTTTTTGTAACATTAAACTAAATCCCTCGAAGCAGTACCATCACTGTCTATGGAGAGACACTTTGGCTTTCACAACAGAAGAGAGAGAGAGAGAGAGAGAAATATGTGTCAGAGAGAGAAAGAAGAGTGCGTGGGGGTGAAAGTGAGTGGTTTTCCTCTTCTTATAAGAGACCCGACCCGGTTTGACCCGGTTCGAACATGAGCACAGTGGAGAGAAGAAAGAGGAAGGAGAGAGAGAGGGTCCTACTAACGAGAATTATGAGAGGTGGTGTCAGTACCAGAGTGACCTCTTTTCATCGTTGGATTATGCTCTCGAGATCTTGACCGTTTAAAATGTACTATTTGGTTTTCTATTTTATTTTCTTATTACTTGGATTCGCTGAAAAGGACAATCAATTATACTATAGTTTTAAAGAGAGAGAGAGATAGACATGTCATAAATGTTTGCTTTCTTATTATTTATTTAACATTTTCTCCATCCATTCATTGATGAAAGAAACACCAAATACTCCCATATTTTGTTTTAAGGATATACAATAATTTATATACTCTTTATACCATCAAAATAATTCAAATGTTTTGTTGAGGCTTATTTTGCTAGATCTGCGTTGAAAATATGGTCAAAGCTGCTCTATTTAACAAGTAACCAGTTTTTTCAAATCTGATAAGTTCTAACTTGATTTTATTTAATACCAGTGGTATTCTGGCACCGAATTCATATATTTTATTATTTAATAACTTAAAATTTATTTGTAACTCTGAAATTATTAATATCTATGGATAAATTTTTATATTGCATGTGTATAATCTTTTAACTGCTCCGTATGATGTTGTTGGGAAATGTTAAAATTAGATGGTCGATACAGGTTTCTAGCAAAAATAGATGGAGTTATTGTGTTTTGTAGTTGTTGGACATTTTTTTGTTGTTCATTAGGATATATATAGTTGTTTTTACTAAATAGTAAATTAGTCATTTGTTCTAGGGGATATTGCATTATGTATTAAGGTATCATATCTTCAAAAGTATCTTAGTAAAAAGGAGAGGTTTCTATTTCTAAATTTCCAACGTTTGTCTTCGGTTGTTTTCTTGCTGATTTTTAATTATAAATTTGTTATAATTTGCTAATTATAGTTTAATTTTAGGTCAATTGATGTGTACTTCTACAATTTTACAGTCGTCCGGTTTTCGTTGTTGGATATGCCGAAGAGAAAATAATAAGTTCTCGTGAAATTTGAGTGTGTAGTGAAGAAGACGAATATCAAGTGCCAAAGAAAGAAAAGCATTTATATCATTTACATTTTCTTTTGTTTGCTCCAGTTATGGTTGTTTTGTTAGTGGTTATTGGTAATAGTCTTAATTTTCCTTAATGTAGGAGCAAATTGCAAGTGAATTTTGAAACTTTGATTGTATGCGATTTGAGATAACTAATGAATGAGTGATAGGACATGAAAACAACTTTATTTATTTGGACTAAGTTTGGCTTATTGTCCATTTGAAGTTGGATGGTATATTTCATGTGAATGAAGTTTACGCCGTAGTTATGTTATTGGTTTACTATATATATTCCCATACTTTGATTTCCATGTAACCATTTTTTGTTGCGAATCATTTTTGTGTATTAACGTGTTTTTTTTGTCGCATATGTTGTTATGTTTAGTAATTTTTGGTATAGTGTTATAGGAGATCCATTTATGATGAAACTGTTTTATATGAACGTTATGCATTTATATTATTAAAAATACAAATAAAAAATCTTTATTAGTAAAGTAGATTTTTTTTCTCCATTGAGGCAAAAATTAACACTTGTCATTCTATAATTTGTTGAATAATTTTTAAACCTAGTTATAAATATTTTTTATAATAACCCTAACTTTAAATAATTTTTTATTTTATAATTATTACGTCAGACTTAGACAGCAATAATATAAAATCAACACTATATTTATTTCGTAAGTTTCAACAATATTACAATAAACAGAGTACTCTAAACTTAAAATTAGAAATATTGTGGCTAAAATCGTGTCTTTTATTATTTTTATATTTTTGTATAAATAATATTTTAATGTTAATTCAATATTATAAATATAAATAGTATAAAATATATAGGAAAATATTTTAAATAGTATTAAAATTAGATATTTAAATGAGAAGATATGAAATAAATGATTCTTATAATTGGTCCTAATGTAAAAATCAGTTAAAATCCAAATAAAATAAAAGATATTTATAATTGGGTTTAAAATTATTTAACAAATTATAGAATGACAAGTGTCAACTTTTGTCCTCGATAGAGAAAAAAGTCTATTTTATTATTAAAGATATCAGTGAATGACAAACAAAATTAAGTTTATACCTTACTGATTAAATGTTGGGAAATTAACAAAAAAAATGTTTATATTATTATGATAATATTTTAAACTTTTTTTCAAAACAGTAAATATTCGAATGTGCTTCATTTAAGTTAAACGCGCATAAGTACTATATTAAAAGGGGGATAATCTCAATGGGGAGAGTGTCCACGTCCCAAAAAATAATCAACCAAATAGATACTTCTTTTGTGCCACCTAAGCTAAGCTGAATCGATTCCGTCTCTCTTCTTCGATTGAATCGATAATGATGATGTAAACGCGACGACAAGAAGATGTGCTTGATCGATATGAAATTGTGCTAGATCGATTGTGCTTGATCGATGATGATGATGATGATGATGATGATGATGATGATGATGTAAACGACGACAAGAATATGACATTATGCTTGATCGATGATGTAAATTGTATTCGAATCAACAACAAGAAGAATAAAAAAATCCAAACGCGGCGCCAACGATGAAATCGACACTCCCGGCGGCTCCGCGTGTTCCCGTATAGACATGGAGTTACATAAGAAGAGAAAAGCTTCCGAAAAGGAGAGAAAACGCGCATCAGCTCTTGACAAACCCAAACCTCCTCCTCTTCCTCCGGTGGTTTCCAATTCAAACTCCGCCGCCGACTTTTCTTTACCGGAGCTGCCTCTAAGCTACTTTAGGGATTTAGCTTCTCCTGATTCTTTAACTAGAGAAGCAGCAGCGACCTCCTTGGTGACCAGGCTACAAGATATTCAAAACCAGTACGAGTCTTTACCTAATAAGGAATCTATTAATGGAGAATTGATGCTTGAAGCTGAGAAGAATGATGCATGATCGATGATGATGTAAATTGTATTCGAATCAAATCAATTGATTCTTAGTCTTTTTTTTTGTTTCCTTCAGGCAAAAACACCGACTTGAACAGAGGAGCTCACAGATACAGCAACCACGCTGCTTCTACTGAAAACATGATCACCCACCTGTGAACGTAGATCACACACAACTCTTAATCAATGGAATGTTCGTTGATTCCGCTTCAGGTCAGATATTTTTTAAAATCATTCATTACTCTAAAGCGGTAAAACCTGATTGTTACATTTACATTACAGGAAAGACTTTCCCTACTTTGGATCCAAGAACTGGAGAAGTGATTGCCCAAGTGGCTGAAGGTGATGCAGAAGACGTGAACCGTGATGTTTTAGCTGCACGCAAGGCATTTGATGAAGGACCATGTCCTAGAATGACGGCTTATGTACACACACACAAAGAGTTTCACTTTGGTGTTTCTAAGATATCACAAAACATATCTAGGAGACACCAATCTCTCTCTGTTGTAGATAATGGATGCATTCGTTCGATGTTACTCATATCCACTCTGCTAAGTTATTAGGTTCGAAGATGGATCCCTTCTTGGACCACCTTACAAAACATCTTGTAGCTAGCTGAAAAAGGCCTGATCTTATCTATGTCCTATAAGGTGTCAATTATTACCATTGTAGCTATTCTTACGAGCAATTGAAAATGGCTCTTAAGACTGGTTACTAATATTTTATTGAGTTTCCTTTTAGCCAAGTCAAGGATACGACATGATGTAGCTCAAGGATTCGAACATAGCCACATGAGGTATGTGAAATGTCTATTTTATCACGGATGCAAAGCTAATGTTGTAATGTACACTGATTATGCGGCATCCTCTATGCTTATGCCAATATTATTTTCGAGCTATCTCCTTTGAAAACTTATGTGATTGTTGTGTAGTTTCTATATTTGGGTAAGTGAATACATTCTAAAGTCGTCTTTTTGGATGGTTTTTGACATTATTAGGAGAGTATTCTGACTGTGATCAAAGGAATGTTGAAGCAACCCAAAAGACATTGCATCCCTCATGATGTTGTGTGAGTTTTTATTACACTCCTTAAAAGTTAATCCCAGTCACTGATATAAACCTCAACAGTGTACCGTCATACATGGGTTCTTCTCATTTAACTGGGGTTTCAGGTACGAGGGTCGGCTGAAGCGTGGAGCAACCTATAGAAAAGAGGTCTCGAACCTCCATGGGTACATGGGTTATTCCCGGAGATGGAAGACAGCTTCCCAAGACATTTCATAAAATAAAAGCAACAAATGAGGATAAATTAAGACAGAGACATATCTTGGAAAAAGAAAAGGCTTGGACAAGGATCATCATCCTTATGAAACGACCAGAATATTTGTTTGCAGTTCCATTGCCTTCCAGTGAGATTCTCTAGAGAAAAAGGGTGGCTGCATCTGGTGGTAGCAACAAGAACAAGGATAAGACACCTCAGGAAAGAATATCAGAAGAGTAAGTTGGAGATGAGACTAAACTCTTAACATCAAAGAAAAACTGAGGTTATCATGAGCTAAAAGAATAATACTATTTCGAAGAAGGATATGAAGAAAATGGAGAATGCACTTGTGAATAAGGCAAATAAGTTGTTTACGTGGCTGAGGAAAATGAGGAAACAACAGAAGCCTATGAAGCAGAGGATGGAGAAGACATTGAGAAGAACACAGAAGATGAAGAAGACATTGAGAAGAACACCGTTGAGATATTGTCATAGAAAGAGATGCTTTGACCTTTCAAAAAAAGGAGAATATGATGTGTGTGACATAGGTTTTTGCTCTTTTTCTCTGCTAAATGCAAATCAAAATCAAATTGTTAACACATTTTTATCTTCTTTAGCTTGGCATTGAATCTTGAGTAGCTATTCTTCTTAAAGCTTTTTTTGGTCCAAATTTATATAT